TTGCTCCCCGAGTCATCCCGGATTAGTCCCATTTTTTGCAGGGTATATATACGACAGTATGCATGTTCTTGTCGCCGGTCGTCATGGTTGAGACTTTTTCATAACTTATTTGTGCTGCTATGTGAACTGCACAAATGTATGTACATAAATGTATATTTTGTAAGCCGCTGGAAAGTGATACATATTTATATGTGGAGGCCGACTACTTTAAATGCTACGGTGATATCGGAGAAATCAAATAAACAAGGCAAAAGTTGAAATAAAATAACCAAAATAATTTTAAAAAGAAATTAAAAGTAATAAAAGATGTTAAGTTTATTAAAAAAATACCAATGCAATGAATGAATGAAGAGTAGTAAAAAAATTAGTATAATCTAGTAAAAGATAAATTAAAATAAATAAATCACAAATAATTTACGTAAATAGATGTAATAAAAAAAGTATCAAATTAGGAAAATATAAGCATTTTTTCGAGCTTCCATTGCTGGAAAGCGCTGGTTAGGTGGCGCCCAGCAACTGATATTAAAAGCACATTGTTGCCTGGAGGCACCAATTTACCCACAAAAAATCATCTCCAGCTACCTCAGCGAGCGGTAGAGTGTTGCGCCACCACCGCGACCATGGATTCGTAGAGTATGAAGTAGTGGCGGCTGTACGCCAGGGATCAGTATTAGGTCCTAGTTTGTAGAACAACGACTCGCAGTTGCTAAAGTGGCCATATTCATATTAAGCCTGCAAGGACGACGTGTGCATCGTCGGGACAGTAAAGACGCTTGCCAAATTAAAAGAGAGGTTAAGCGCGAAATAATTTTCTGGGCTATCGCTGAATTCATCGTAGTCAGATTTTCATGAAAACTACGAAAATGCGATCACTGAACCCGAATTGCTACGAACACGAAAAATCGGATTCGGTGATAGCCCTGATTAGAACTGCAGCCTACGCGATGGAAGCCGATCTTATTAGTAGTCGAAAGAAGGAGGAAGGCAAATGGCGGATACCAATATATGTACATATGTAGAGTTCAAGCCGTATGTTAAATATCTCGACGTCTTGATTGATCAGCAGCGCCTCTGCTTTCGGGACCATGTGGAATTAGCCAACCGTTATTTTGGGTTTTAATTTTTTTCGATCATTTATAACCGTTAAGTATGATAGAGACTTCGTTTTCATTACCGATCTACATTTTTATTATATAAAAAATTAAATCGAAAAAATAACGATTATAACACTGCAAAATCCTGCAGAATTAAAAACTAGAAAATTTGTTCGTGCATAAGGATGAATGGGTATGGAAACTTTCATTTTAAAAATTTACCCTTGAACATCCTTGAAAATTTGCAATATTTGTTTTTGAAAAAATTATATATTAAGGACTAATATATACACGATTACATGCTCGAATTTCGTCCTCCTAACTTTACTAACTTAAAATTAAATAAATGCCCAAAAAACTTTAATGGTTTTCAATTCTACACAATTTTCTCTGTCACTTGGTACCCATATTGCTATTGTAAATTCCACTGATTTTTTTTTAATAATTTCAAAATAATGTCTTTAAAATTTCAAAGTCCTTTAAAAAAAAAATCCTGACGCCAGAGTGAAAAACTAAAAACGTAGCTTTATTATATTTGGCCCATTGTTACGTGAGTATATTGATTGTTTCGTCTGTTTGGAAATTTTTAGTTTTTGTCGCACGGTGTAATACATATGATTGAAAAAATAAAAATCAAAAGTACGAACAAAAATTTATTGAAAAAATAAAAATCTAAAAATAACAATTATTCTTGATCGAAAAAAACAGAAATCATAAAATAACGGGTAAATTTGATCGGAAAAATTTAAATCCAATTTTAACGGTTATATTATGAAATTGATTTTTTTTGGTCAAGAACATCATAACGATCCCTGCTTTC